GAGGAGGAGGAGAAGAAGAAGAAGAAGAAGAAGAAGAAGAAGAAGAAGAAGAAGAAGAAGAAGAAGAAGAAGAAGAAGAAGAAGAAGAAGAAGAATGTAGTGATAAAATGACTCCCGGTGACATTCTGCTACACTCATAGATCAGTGCCTTGCTCAGCCATCATCAGAGAAGCTTCCTCCTGCTGCAGATGGGAACAAATACAGAGACCCACAGCCAGGCATTATACAGAGAGTGAGAGAGAGAGACCTTGGAATAATTAGCCCTAAGTGGGATGTCTCCATCAAATCCCTCCCCTCAGAGCTCAGGGAACCCCTCAGAAGAGAAGATGGAAAGAATGTAAGACCCAGAGGGGGTGGAGGAAACCAAGAAAGCAAGGCCTTCTAAATCAATACGAGCCAAGTTCATACGAACTCACAGAGACAGAAGCAGCATGCGCATGGCCTGCATGGGTCTCCACCAGGTCCTCTGCTTCCAGTTTAGTGGTTTTTATGGAATTCCTGAGCATTCAGACAAGTGGGTCTCTGATTCTTGTGCTTTGGCTCTTTTTTTTTTTTTTTCTGTTGGTTTGTCTTATCCAACTTCAATGTGATAGTTTTTGTTTTAGCTTATTATATTTTATTCTGTTAGTTTTTAAATGAATGAGTAAGTAAATGAATGAATGAAAACCTTGTCACTAGGGTAAAGGTTAAAAGCTGAACTATTGGCCGGGTGGTGTTGGCGCTCACCTTTAATCCCAGCACTCAGGAAGCAGAGGCAGGTAGATCTCTGTGAGTTCAAGGCCACTCTCTGGGCTACAGAATGAGATCTAGGAAAGGCTCAAAGCTACACAGAGAAACCCTATCTTGAAAAGCCAAAATAAATTAATTATAATATAATATAATAAAATAATATAATATATATATTAAAATGTAACATTTTAGAAAGAAAACATAGTGATTCCCAAAGGGCAGGAGGAGATATGTAAGATGTGTAGGTGTGACCATAAAGGGGAAATGTAAAGGGCCCTCATGGGATGGAATTCCCCTGCATCCCTACACATATGATAAAAACCCAACAGTCATACAAGAAAAACTGGGACAACAAAACCTTTGAGTTTTACCAATGCCAATACCCTGGTTGTGGTATCATAATATTATTCTGTAAGATGTTACCGTGGGGGTAATGCTATGATATCATGCAAATCATCTTAATAAAATTCATTGAAAAAAACCACACACACAAGAGTTTTAGGGTAGCTCAGAGGTGGTGGGCTTGCCAGGAATGAGCAAGACACCAAAATAAACAAACAATGCTTAAATTAGGGTCTTAAAAGAAATTCCCTGTGGGTTTGGTTTTAGTCCACCTCACTGGAGGAAAACCAGCCGAGAATCATGCCATTCTGTGCACAGGTACCTGCATGGAGGACTTTCTTCTTCTGTGTCTTCCCATCTAAAACCTTCCGTGGTCCTTTCAACACTTTTAGAGGCGACACAGCCTTTGAGTCAACATCCGATGGAGAGTTTGCACATTTTTCTGGGCTTGAAACCATGGAGGAGATTTCCTTTTGATGCCTATTTGGGTTGGATTTTTTTTTAAGTAGACCAATAAAAAGGATATAAGAAAAATGTCCATTAAGAAGGAAGAGAAGCAGATTAATATTTTCACATTGAACACTACAGACTAAAAGAAGCGAGCATCCCCAGGCTATCTTCTCAGGAAGAAGTCCTTTTAACAAAGAGTGTCAGCAGAATGGGAAGGCTAAAATACATGTATTAATCCAACTTTCCTGTTCACTAAAACTCAGTCTTCCTAGTCTCAAATCAAGCACTAATATGCCTGAGTGCACAAAGACAGGGGAATGGCCAAGTCCAGCCCTTGTGACTCCTATCACAGATGTGTGACCTCACTGAAGTCACTCAATCCAGGAGCTTCTTCTGTGCACTCACTACAGGGAGCTGCTGTGAGAACGAATGGGAGGCAGCATGCCAGTGTTATAGAAGCCAAGCCAATTCTCTAACCCAAGTGCCATTTAGCAAGCTCTTGTAAAACGTCAGACTTCCCACACCAGCAAAAATGGCAGCAAACGATTGAAGAGAATCTCTGAGACCAGGAGGAATCCAGAAACGTTCAAGTCTCTTCCCAGACATTTCTGTCTCTGGGCTCTGAAAAGAGCAGCCACAGAACAGCTGTGTGGCCCCACCCCATGGTCTGTCCTTTGTGTGAAAACATCCGCACTGTGCATCCATCCCACAGCAGAAAGGACCAGGATTCACACACCCACTTCTCCTGGTGCATGGTTTGTCCTCAGTACATTAAAAGAAAAAAAAAAAAAAAAAAAGATTTGGAGGCTGTTACATTTTTATCCTAACGGAAAACTTCAAAACGGTAGTCTGTTGTTGCTAATAGCTAAATGGGAGAAATCTCTTTCCTAATGCCATTAACTAAACCGAGAAGTGTGGCTTCCTCTTTTCTTTAGTAGGTCAGAGTTCCTACTGTGAGCCACACACATCCACTCAACCACCCTTTCCCACATTACAGATGGGGAAAATAAAGCCTCCTTGAGATTAAGCAACTTGCCCAAAGTGTGACAGCTGCAATAGCAACACGTCTCTAACTCCAGCATGTGATCCTCCCAGCCTCCCTCAGCCCCCCAACCCCCCCCACCTCCACCCCTTAACTCCCCCACCCCCACACAACAGAAAACACAAAACAACATCACATTCACTGCTCAGACAACAGACCAAATCCAAGTTCTAAGAAACAGCTGGTCGTTTTGTCTAAGATTTTCTTTGTGTAAACAAGGAAGACAGTTAAGGTACTAGCCGAAAGACACGGAGATGCTAGCTTAATCTCAAGTGATGTTTGCTTATTTGATTTTCAATTTGCGAAGTTCAGAAACCATTTGTGCTTCCCCAAATTCTCAAAGAAAACACTGCAAAATTTCCTAAGACAAACCACTCTAGGACAGCCCTCTTTTCCTCCTAATTTGATATTTGATATCTGTGTTCATGCTTAATTCATTAATAGGAAGACTTTGTTTAGATGGATAAAAAAATCTGGTTAATAAATGTATCTCCCGTCTTTCTGTTTGCGATCTCCCTTTTAGCTATTTTCCTGGCAGAGCGGGCCTGACTATCTGTACGAACAACCTTAAATCACTTAAATAAGCTGTGACACATTTCCTGAGTGTTGGGATGGGTTTGCGGTTTTGTTGGAACCATCACGAATGAGAAGCTCGGTACAGGCTGGAGAAAGACTGAAGAAGTATGTGTCCCCAACCTGTCACCACAGCCCTGATAAAGAAACAGATCCCAGGGCATGGAAAGGTGTGAGAGGAAGTTAAGTGCCTATCAGGGTTTCACAGAAGGAAGCTTTTGATCTCTGGGCTAAGTCTCCACCTCAGGCACCCACAGCTCTCTGCCCTGTCTCTGCTCAGGATGGGGGGCTTTCTATACTGGATACAGGATACACAGTGCACATGTGACCTCAAGCTCACTGTTACCAGACCATCCTCTTTGTAAAATACCCTAACAGGACCAGACTACATGCTTCTCTCACTAGATCCCCCAGGCCCTTTAGAAAGGGGAGAACAGGAAGGGGGGAGGGAGAGGGGGAGGAGGGAGGAAATGAAGGCAGCAGGGAGAGAGTGGGGCAGGCAGGGGAGAGTTGGGGGATACAGGGGGAGCTGGGGGCCTGGAGGAAGCAGGGAGGGAGGGGTGTTGGGAGCAGGGGGAGGCCCCAGGCCCAGGGAGGCAGGTGGTTTGGCGGCTCACTTGCTGTCCCCTTCCTTTCCTCTGTTGTACCACCAGTCCATGACTAAGGTCTCCGAGTAAAGCTCCTGAATCTTCTCCAGGTCACTGTAGCCCTGCTGCATTTCCTGAACCAAAAGGCTCATGTCTTCATCCTGCTGAAGGGAGAGGTGGACAGTCACTCCCGGGAGGGTGCAAACACCTTGGACAGAGACGGCATCAGGCGGAGAAAAACCTCAAGAATCTCATGGGATGCCTTCACCTTCTCATGTCCAACCAACTCTATGGTATATTATTCACACAATGAAGGGAATTTGCACAGTCACACATGTGAGGTTACTATGACCAAAGCAGTAAACATACCCACCACGTCCCCAAAGCACCCCCACCCGTTTGTAAATCTGCTCCCCTTCCTATAACCCCTCTCCCCAGTGACCAAGCAATTACTCAACATGCTCCGTCACTACACATTAGTCTGAATGCTCTACCGATGGAATCATACAATAAACGCTCAAACCCTTTGGCGCTCCCTCCACTCCTAATTATTTTGAAATTCACTCATATTGTAGTGCGAACCCACCATTCATTGATTTTATTGTCAAGTAGTTTTCTACTGTATAATAAATATAAAAACGCATCCATTCACTTGCTTATGGGCCACTGAGCCCTTTCCAGGCTTGGGCTGTTGCAGATAAAGCTATGAACACTTGTGTATGACTCATTTGCGTGGACACGAGCTTCTAATTATTTTTGGTAAACGGGAGCCTTGGATAACTAGATCGCGTGGATGGTGATGTCACTGATGAACTACCAAGCTGTTTTCCAAAACTGCTGTTCAATTTATAATCTTGCCAGTAAGTACGAGTCCCAGACCCTCCACATCCTTGCAAATGTAGAGAGCATAGAAGGCTGCTGATCTCCGCCCGTCTGACACTTGCATAATTTGTGGTTTTAATGTGGATTCCTTGTTGTTGATCAGGATGAGCATCCTTTCGTGTTATTTATCAGACACATATTCTTTTGTTAATGTTTGCTTTCCCCTAGAACAGGGTTTTGCTCCATATCCCAGGTTAGCCTTGAACTCATGGTTCTCCCGACTGTGCACCTTCACTAGCAGATTACAGGTGTGCAGCCCCTTGACCCGGCCCCATCTATGTTCTTTCTGACAAAATGTCTGTTCAAAAATTTGGCCCATATTTTGAGTTTTCTCATCATTGAGTTGTGGAGTTTTTTTTTTGTTTGTTTGTTTGTTTTTTAAGGTTCTGGGTATAAGTCATTTAGTGGACATAGAATTTGAAAATATTTCCCTCCTACTCTAAGGATTTCTTTTTTGTTTTGTTTTGTTTTTGTTTTTCGAGACAGGATTTCTCTGTGTAGCTTTGTGCCTTTCCTGGAACTCACTTGGTAGCCCAGGCTGGCCTTGAACTCATAGAGATCCACCTGGCTCTGCCCCCCCCCCCCCAGTGCTGGGATTAAAGGCGTGCGACACCACCGCCAGGCTAGGATTTCTTTTTAATATTACAGCAGTCTTTTCAGAGAAGAAGCTTCTAATTTTGGTTTATTCCAAATGATCAACTTATTCATCTACAGATTACAATTTTTATAACCTATCTAAAAACTTTTTTTTTTCAGCTAGGCATTGTGGCACATGCCTGCGACCACAGCCCTCGGGAGGCCAAGGTAAGAGAATCAAGAGTTTGAGGCCAGCCTGGGCTATATAGGGACAACCTGCCCTCCAGTTTTGTTCTTCAGAAAAGTTATTTTGTTAATGATAAATCCTTGACCTTTCCATAGGATCAGTTTGCTGGTGTGTGTATGTGTGTGTGTGTGTGTGTATGTGTGTGTGTATGCATGCAGGTGTGCGTGTGTGCGTGCGTGTGTGTATGTGTGTGTGTGTGTATGTGTGTGTGTATGCATGCAGGTGTGCGTGTGTATGCGTGTGCATGTGTGAGTGTGTGTGTGCACGTGCGTGCGTGTGCATGTGTGAGTGTGTGAGTGTGTGTGTGTGTGTGTGTGTGTGTGCATGTATGTGTGTGATATGCATTTGAATGTGTGGGTGCAGACACAGGGAGTTCTGTCTCCTGTCTTGAACACAAGGCTCTCAGTGAACCAGAGACTTCAAATTTCAGTTACGCTGATGGCCAGCAAACTCTCAGGACCCACTTGTCTCTGCCCCATAATGCCAGAGTCATAGGCACCTGCAGCCAGGCCCGGCTTTTTACATGGGGGCTGGGGATTCAAACTCGGGTCCTCATGGTTGCAGAGCGAGTGAGGGCTCTTACCCACTGACCTGTCACCCAAGCCCCAGTTGGTTCATTTTTATTAAAATCCTGCTTAGATTTTGACTGGTATTGTATTGAATGACGGATCCATTGGAAGAGAATGGACAGCTTAACACCGTCAAGTCCTGCGACACACGTTCAGAATGCACCTCTCAGCCGTGTCTCGCCGATGTCCGTGTGAAGGCCTTTCACATACTTTGACCGATGTACCCCACACAGATTTCTTCTTTCTTTGTTTCTGATGCTGTCGTCTGTGAGTACTATTTAAAATGTCTGTTGTTCTTTACTAGTAGGTAGAGACAAGGTTGGTTTTTGTACATGTGCTCTTAGGACGCGATCTGGCTAAAGTCAATGATTGGCTCCAGGAACTCCTTTGTGTGTTCCACAGTATTTTCTAACTCGATGATGCTGCTGAATGGAAATAAAGCTAGACTTCTCTTCACTCTGGTGCCTTTCGTTCCCTGTACTTCTGATGCATGAAGTGGCGAGAGCAAGCATATTTGAGGATTTAATTATTACAGAAACGTGCAGGGAATCTGGTAAAAAGTTTTTAATGTATAAATTGAAATGACTATATTTTTACAAAGATTTACTTAATGTTACATGTATGAGTGGTTTATCCGCATGTATGTCTGTGTACCACATGCGTGCCTGGGGCCTGTGGAGGGCAGAGGCGGGTGTGTGATCCCCTCAAACTGGAGTTACCATTGGTTGTTAGTTGCTATGTGGGTGCTGGGAACCGAACCTGGGTCCTCTGGAAGAGGAACGAGTCCTCTTCATCTCTGAGCCATTTCTCTAGACTTAAGTTTTGTTTTGTCTTTAAGAAGCTGAGGAATGATTGGCTGTTAGCAGCTGCTTAGGACCCAGTAGATGGCCCCGTACCCACTCCCACATGGTCCCCACTAACTGGACTCAGGAAGCCATTAGTAATTCTTTAAAAAGACAAGAAGTCGCAAGGAGATGGGTCGGTGGGTCCTGGGGGAGTTCAAAGGGAATAGAGGAGGATGTGTACATGTATGAAATTTTCAAAGGATAAATAAAAATAACAATACTGGACTGGAGAGATGGCTCAGCAGTTAGAGCACGGGCCGCTCTCTCAGAGGAACAAACACCTGTGATCCAGTTCCAGGGAACCAATGCCTTCCTCTGGCCTCCAAGGACACCAGTCACGCATGTGGTGCACAGACACACATGCAGGCAAAATGCTCATGCATGTAAAATAAAACAATAAATACAGAAATAAGCATGTTGCTATGGCATCTTATATGTTGATTTTTAAATGTTAAACTAGCATTGCATTCCTGCACGATGAAGAATCTATCACCAAAGATCAGCTTCCTTTCCAGTACAGAGGATCAAACCCAGATCCTTGTACGTGCTAAGCAAAATGTTCTACCATTGAGCTACACCTTCAGCCCTAGACCTGATATTACTTTCATCTTAAATATTTGGTACAATTCAGCAGTGAAATCATCTGGGGCTGGAGCCACCTGTGAGGAAACCATTTAACTATGAACTCACTTTTTAAACAGATGTAGGGCTACTTATACTTTATATGAACATAAGCTTTCATTCTTTGAAATGCATGCCCGGTAGACCAAGGACCAGGTCATACGGTAATTAAATATTTTGCTTTTATAGAAACTGCCAGACTGCTTTTCAGCGTGCCTGTATTTTGTACTCCAGCCAGCAGTGTGTTAGTGACCTGGTTTCTCACCCCACCAGCACTCAGCCTCCTCTGCCATTCTGATGGACATGGAGTGACAGGGCCTGGAGTTCGGCTTGGGTTCCTCTAAGGCTGGTGGTACCCAGCCCCCTCTCAGGTGCTTATTCAGCACATCCGTGAGGCCTCTTCAGGAGAATGTCTGCATGTGGTCGTCTGCAGGTTTATTTTCTAAGTGGACTCTTTGCTTTTATGGCTCTGGGGAGTGAACCCAGGATGTGGTACCTGCTAGGCAAGTGCTCTACCACTGACCTACATCTCCCAGACCATCTTTAAGTTTTTCTTAAAGGTCTCATTAAATTTCCCAGGCTGGCTATTCCAGTCTGTTCTCTGTTGCTGTGATAAAAAAAAAAAAAAAAAACAAAAAAACAAAAAAAAAACCACATTCTGACCAATAGCAACTTGGGTCAGAAAGTGTTTATTACATTTACAGGTTCCTGTCCTTCATTGAGGGGAGTCGGGGTAGGAACCCATGATCTACTTTGCATGTGCATGATCTCTATGTGCATGCAGACAGATCCGCATTTCAGTTGAGGTTCATCACTTTATCTGTGCATGGTCAGTTGTTCCAATTATTTGTTGGAAAGGCAACCTTTCCTTCTTGGAACTGTTTTGAACCTCTGTCCAAAAGCAGTCAAGAATGCTGTGCCTGGGCGTTCCTGCAACCATTCCAATGGTTTATGCAGCTATTCACCCACCAAAGCAATGCTGTCTTTGTTAGCACTACACACACACACACACACACACACACACACACACACACACACACACACCTTAACATCAGCTACAGTGCTTTTTTTCATTATAGGTAGATGCTTTCCTGCTTTTCTGCATGCCTGGTAATATTTGATTGGTTTCCAGACAATGTAGACATTTTTGTTTCCCTGTCATTATTTAGGGGAGTTGTTCTATGCTGCATATAGTTAAGTTACTTGAAAATAGTTTCATCCTTTCAAGCTTTGTCCTTAAGACTTCCACTATTGGCCGGACGGTGGTGGCGTACGCCTTTAATTCCAGCACTCGGGAGGCAGAGCCAGGTGGATCTCTGTGAGTTCGAGGACAGCCTGGGCTACAGAGTGAGTTCCAGGAAAGGCGCAAAACTACACAGAGAAACCCTGTCTTGAAAAACAAAACAAAACAAAAAAAAGACTTCCACTATGGAAGCATCACCATTCTGTGTATTCTACAAAATACCCAAAGGAGGACGAGATTTCCCATTCTCACTGATCAAGTCATCACTATTCCCAGCCTTGGGTGATCTCAGAGCACAGTTCCCTCTGGTCCCCTGCCTGGTCCAGTCCTGACTCGGGTAGTCTCCCCAGTCTAAGTGTTGATCCGTTTCTGAATTGTGCTTATACAAGAAGACAAAAAAGCAACAGCCCCACGTTCCTCCCGCAGAGTTCCTAGAGTCACTTCCCTCAGGCCAAGACTGGAGGGCTGGGGAATACTTTCTTTATTTTCCCACCTCACCCTTCAGAGAGAATTGCTTTATCAGATGGTCACATGGTTCCATCCCCTGAGGAGTTAGGAGCTATTCAGCACCTGAAATTTTTTTAAATGTTTCTGACATACATGTGTCTATACAGCAGTAGTTAAAAGCCATTATATGCATGGTCTGAAGAACTGGCCCAGTGGTTAAGAGCACTGGTTGTTCTTACAAAGGACCCAGGTTTGATTCTTAGCAGCCACATGGTGGCTCACAACCATCTGTAACTCCGGGGCACCTGAAGCCCTCTTCTGACCTCCATAGGCATCAGGCATGCATGCGGAATACAGACATACATGCAGGCAAACACCTATACACATTAAATAATATCTATTTTCGAAAAAAAAAAATTTAAAAAAAAAACCCTCTCTTTACATATGGATTTCTGGGATCCTTGTTTTTAAAACAGACCCCTGAGCTTTGACAAAATGTTCCTAACTGCTGAATTGAGTGGTGGTTAAATTGGATCCATGTGTTTTTATATTTTTGTGCATATTTAAAGCTTCCTATCACAAAAAAAGAAGAAAATAAAATTCATTAAGATCCTTGGGCCTATACACCTATACGACTTCCTGGCTTGTACCTGTGACCATGTGATCCACATTGTCACAAGTGTCCTGAGATCCTTGGGCCACATTTGGAGAAACCCTGGTGTATCATTAGTGCATTGGCTACTTGCAAGGTTTTGTACAGGGCTGCAGTTTTCCCAATCCCCTCCCCCAACACCCCTCCCCTATGGTGCCGCCCTGATCTCAGAGACCCTTGTTCAGCACGTGTCAAGTCCCCACCTGAACATCCTCAACATCCTGAATGACAGGATTCTTGCAACCAAAATCATAAGCACGGAACTCTCCTCCAGTCAGAGACGCAAGCTCCTTCAAGAACTCATTTGCAGCCTTGTCGTTGTAATTGAAGGAAATGGCATAGATGGGAATATTCTTGAAAAGTCTGACGTGGTCCATCACCATTTCTGGTGGCTGAAATGATGATCAGGGTCATGGGGAAGGGTAGGAGAGAAAGAAAAAGGTATCATGCGACAAACTCTTAGTACTGGCCATAGGCGGTCAAATTCTGAGCTAGGAATTGCTGGTACAGAGAGTGACCTTTTATCTATCTGTTATTTCACTTCAATATGCAAAACCACCGACCAAAGAGCACGGGGACCCAAGGCAACAAAGTAAGCCCACCGTCTACACCCAACCCCAGGCCCCATAGTGCTAAGCTGGAACAGTGTTCCAGCGCCCCCCTGTGGCATGAGAGAGCTGGGGAGAGAAATGGCCTGCCCTGGACTGGACTGCAAGCAAGCTCCGTGGAATGCCACCTCCGTGGAATGCCACGGCCACTCCTATCTTCTACCTGCTGAAGACTGCCACAGCTGGTGCATACCCTGGGAGCACTGAGGAGGAAGACTCCAGAGGTCACCATCAACCTCTGCTTCTTCACAGATGCTTACTGACAGGTTCCTCCGGGCTATGGAGTGGAGGACCACAGCCTCTCGCACTGCTGTGAAACAGTGAGGGAGCTTTTCTCAGCCCAGGGACTCTGTGTTCCTCACAGGGGCTGCCAGCTCTCGTCAGCCCCTTAGAGGAGGCTGAGCAGCTTGCTCTCCATCATCAACCCAGAGCAGTGGGAAAGTGGGAAACCGGGTTTCCTTGCTTCCTTAAGGACTCCCCAGGCAGGCTCCCTACCTATGACTTGCCCACCCCCTAGACTTCATAGGCTCATGTTAGGCTTTATCCATTATTCTCATTTTAGAAGGTTGCAAAATTATTTGTCCCGTCCATTTGTAAAGACTTCAACTTTGAAGGAGTCCTAAAATAACCATAGCCACAGCTGGACTAGACTTCGCCCATGCCCACCAGAGGACACCTGGGTAATAGACTCTTTCCACCTTAATGAAGACCGACATTTCTAAAATTCTTGTAACATGATGAGATTTAAAGATGTGTGTTGCCTTCTAACGCTGCTGGTCTGACCATGAAACGACCAGTAAGCGGATGTCAGTGGATCCAGACATCCACGTGTTCATCCAAGAAGAAAAGACCGCTGAGTATTTTGAATCACACTGGCCTTATACAGTGAGCTTCCTCAAAGGTGGAGAAAACTACCAAACAAATGAATCCACCCCATTCCCACCCCCAAGGGCTTCTCCCTCCCTCCAGCTAAGTTCAGGAAGAATGTCCTAAGCGATCCTGGGGGCTCTTCAGCCATGTGTTGGCTTGGACTTGTTTTTCCACTACTAAAACCATGGAGGCTGGGCGGGACCTTCTTAACCTGTTTTACACAGAACACAAATATCTGATATCGGTTTACTTTGTTGACAGAATCTCCGAGGCAATGCAAAGTAAAGAGGCCCACGTGGGAAAAGGTAAACACGAACACCGAACACTTTGAAGCATCTCTAAGTTCCGTTTTGGATAACTGTCATTTGGACTCCAGCTGTCCAAGTTTAAATGACCCACAGTTTCTCTCAGAAAAGCTACTGATCCTCAGAAAGCTACATGAATGTCCTTTGGATATACTGATGTGAGAGTATAGATCCATGGAAGGCTGTGCTGTGCGGGAAGCCCTGAGCTACTGAACCATCCTCCTCATATTTTTGGGGGGTTTCTGGACGTCCACGCAGCCCAAGCATACAGATTATCTGCTCACCAGCACCTCAGACCTGTTTGCTCTTTATTGAAATTCCACTTGGGTTACTAATAGGATGAGCCAAAAGGTAGTTAACCCCTTCCTCCCCACCTCCAGCCTTCTCCTCTCCCCACTGCCTGCTCCTGAACTAGGCACCAAGTCCCGCTGATTCCTGACTCTGAAGGAAGTCCCTCCCTCCCCAGTTCCCCAGCTACCAGCTGCCACTGCTTACAGGCCCTTGTCGAGGTCCCAGCAGAAGCTCTGGCACAGCTGACTTGTTCCTGGCATTATTGGGGCATCGTGTTTCCAAACTATGGAGGGGCAACAGGTTCTGTTTCTGTGAAATTTCCCCACTGAGGTGACACCCACCCTTTTAACTTGCACGACATCTTTGCATCAGACTTCGATCGTGCCCTGGTTGTTCCTCTGAGCGTGACCCTCCCACCCCTATGCCCACCCTTCTGTACCTACCACCCAGGACAATTTGGTCTCCTCTTTTCAGAAAGCCTTTTCTCTCCTTTCCAGACACAGTACAAATGCCCGCCTCTACTAGAGGACCTTTTCTGGTTTTCTGTCCATCTTGTATAGCTAAATTCATCCCTCTGTGCTGCTAGTCATAGACCAGACAATCTCAGCCCCTGGATTGTATCAAAATGAGCTGTATACATCTAGCACATTCCCTAAAGGTAAACTTCCCTAAGGCAAGGATCCCTCAAACCTTGGCACCCCCCAGGACACACAAGAGAGTCACAGACTGCTTCTGAATAGAAATCACCGCAAAGTTGACAGGGAAGGCATTCCAAATTAAATTTCACTAACATGCCACTTCTCTGCCATAAATCTAATGCAGCAGTAAAATCCGGTGGCTTCAGTATTTAATCCTTGAGTCATTTGACACAGGGTATTTTAGAACAGGCAGTCTGCACGTGTAAACATCTTCCGAGGCAGGACACATGCTGATACTAATTCACTTTAGCAGTCAATTTACATTGTGCTGGCCTGGAAAATCCTCATATTTACTTAATGTCTGTAGTACTCGTCTTTCATTCACAAAGCTCGAAAGAAACAGAACAGGCTCTTCTAAAACTTTTCAAATATTTTCCAGGCAGGCTAAACAAAGCCGAGAACGTTTCAGTTGAAAGGTGTGCTTTTGTTTAAGGGAGGGTGAAGCTAAAATGAGGGACAGGACCAAGGACATTGCCTGGTGACATGTTTAGATTGAGTCCTCAAAGGAACGAAATTGAAAGCAATCTCCATGGTCCTCGTTTGTCATAAGACATAAAGCAGTGTGCAATGGAAGGCAGGCATCTCCTTCCCAGGGCATGGTCTCCAGGTCGGTGAATATGGGTCACATTAAGCACAAACATTCAGCCGCCATCACTATGCCATAAACGTTCTTCAGTTATAGAAGTCAAGGGTGTTCCTTGGTGTCTTTTCTTACCTCAGTACTGGTTCCCTATGCCAGGGACATAGCTCTCAGTATCTCTTGTGGGGGGGGGGGCAGGGGGCCTGGATATTGAGCCCAGAGCCTTTTGAATACTTAGGCAAGTACTCATCCCTGAGCTATATTCTTAACCCTCTTTTTAAGTTTTTCAAAACAAAGTTTTGAGACAGGTTCTTGCTAAGTTGCTTATGTTGACCTTGAACTCATCCCATAACCAAGCAGTTGTTGAACTTGCCATCCTCCTGCCTCAGCCTCCTGTGTAAGTGGCATGACAGGTGTGAGTCACCAAGATCAGCTTCTCTGCCTTGTGATGTCCTTTGTAAAGATCTCAGTCCCCCTCTCAGCCGTCCCTTTCAGGGCATTCTTCAACTCGTCTTCATTAGCAGTTTGAATCAGTACCTGATCAGGTCTCCCGTCTGTCAAAAGGTAGATGGCTTGCGTTTCTTGATCAGCAAAAGCAATTTTCAGGGCTTTCAGGGTATTTGTGGAACTTCCAACCTATGGGGGAAGAAAAAAGACATTCAAGGGATTGCACAAGAAAGTGAAATGTATTCTCTGCTCAATGAGAAAAAAGAAAAGAAAAAGAGCATCTGAAATTAGAGACAAAATTTCATTGAGAAAATGATTTAAGACCAGCAATGCCAAGAAGCCAAATCCCCAGGTTTGCCATCAGAGACTCTAGCCAGGCAGTCCAAGGTCTGCTCTAAGCCGAGGCTGTGGGTTTCCTGTTTTGACAACAGGGGTCTTAATGCAATTTCATCTGTGTGTTTTTGTGCACGGTGCTAACTCTGTCAGCAGGGCTGAATCAAGCAGCCCGAATGTATCCCAGTTGGGATCATATTTGTTTCAACTCAGGATTTATTCATGCCACCCAGCACTTGGCAATCTTGAGTGTGGTCTTATTGATGCTTTAATGACGAACACATGAACGTTTCTAGCATAAATCCAACCTTAACATGCATGGCATATTATTGGGTCTTATGTGAATGCATGGGGTCCTGATGTTCTGCTCTGTGCATGGCAGAAAAACAAACAAATATATCTGGCAATCTGGATCTATGGGTTCCATACCCCTGAGATTCAATCAACCAAGTTAAAAATATTTAGAAAGAAAATTACACAGATAGTGAATGTCAAAAAAATTCATTATTCCCCAAATAATATATTATAGTAAGTATTCACTGTACTCTCATAAGTATATAAATAACTTGAAGGTGATTGAAAAAATACAAAAGAATATGCACAGTTCACATGAAAAACATGCTCCATTTTGTATGAGCCACATCTGTCAATTTGGGTATCCATGGGGAAAGGCTGATTCTAGAATCATTTCTCCATGGCTACTGAGAGCTAACTGTATAAATTAAAATCATAATCAATCAAAGAGAATAAATTATGGCTTATTTTCTCTCTTATACATAACATTAATCATAATACCATCCGAAATTCTTTGTATAAAAAAGAAATAATATACACTTTGTATGTCAGGGGGAAATAATGATAGGTTTTTAACAATGTCACCAAACACTTCAGACAATTATAAATTTGAAAATCTCATGAATCAGTACAGAATGGGATGAGATCAGATAAATGTAGATTCGCTAGAAAGCACTTTGCTTAACATCCAAAAATGACTCTTACCAAGATATCATCTCTGTCAGTAAGACACACAGAACTTCAAGATTTCCAAAGCCTACTTAAGCCTTCCCCTTCGTCTCAGACCCAGGGTATCAATTCAACCAGAGTTGTAAGCAAGAAAAACAACTGTGATTGATCCAAGCAAGAGGGAATGTATGCAAAGGACATCTGGATGGCGCACAGTATTGCCATCTGGCAAAAAAAACAAAACAAAAAACCCCATAGCTTGGGACCTCACACCATAGAGCAGGGGCCCCAAGCCTCCTGCAAGCCTGCCTGGCAAGGGCTCCACTGCAACACCACCAGGATACCAGATGCTGTGGTTAGCCTCACCAAACCGGGGGCTGTCAGACATGAGGTGGACCAGCAGCCCACCACCTCTGCCACCCAAGAAGCTTCAGCGGTCTGCATATGGCACCACGGTCATGGTTCTCTCGGGCAGACTCACCACCTGGAGTCTCTGTCTCTCAATTCAAATCCAGGGAGGTTACTCCAAGCTTGGGTGCCTGAGCTCCGTAACTGGCCCCTGAGCTGAATGGAGGCCAGAGTTTCAGCTTCCATATGGTGAACAGGTTCTATCTCCCTTACAGGAATCAGGATGAGAAGATGGGGGACTGGTAGCCAAAAGAATGACAAGTATCCTGCTCATATCCAAATCTCATCAAGCTTCACTGTGGGCCTTGAATGCCCTTTCTGCTGAGAGCTGCTTAAGCCCAGACACAGGTAGGGAGGCTCCGAGTCCTCCCACGCAGTTCCGCTGCCCTGGGCCTCTTCCATTAGCCTCCACGAGCTCTCCCTGGGTATTTAATAAGCACCCGAGACCCACTTGCCATGCATCATGCTGGGATGAGAAGGCAAATTACCAAACCAGATCAAAGCCTGTCTTGAGAGGGGCACCCAGGGCAGTGCTGAGAGCCTGGAGATACTACCGAGCACCATGCTAACACTGCGCCCGAGACGCAGGGCGTAGGCTGCATGACTGAGTGGATAGCTAAAGATGCCTCAAGATAGAGCTGGATCAGAAGACAACTAAATGATGAATGGATGAGCAGGTAATAGAGACTACAGTGGGAGGCCCCATTTCCTATGTTGTTCAGGACTGGACAAGGAAGTTTATTGCTGCAGCATCCACATGAGGCACAATGTTATAAAAGTGGTAGCAGCGCTGAAGATAATAAAAACATCCGCTGAGTAAATCTACTGTGTATATCACGGGCTAAGCAGGTACTGTTCCTGCATTTTTACCCTATGGAATAAGGAGACTCAGACTCAGCAAATTCGACTCCTGTGTCCCCCGGAAGGTCACCCACCAGCCACCGGCAGCCCAGGGATTTGCCTTGTACCCCTGTGAGGGCACCGTGCAGGAAGTGAATGAGAGTCCCAACAGCATGGCACGGGGAGGGAGGGGGCTCTGAAAACCAAACTGTCCCCGGAACAAAAGCCCACAAATGTAAGCCAGATCCAACGGGCTAAACCTAAATACAGTGTCTGCTTGCTAAATGAGAAGACTTCAATGGGATTAGAGGCTCCTGACATAATAATAAAAATTTCCCAGAATGCAATAAAGAAAAATCACTCATCACACAAAGAACCAGAAATAGCTCTTTTGTCTGAGAGAAAAGTGGTCCAACTGATGCCCTCAGAGGTCTCTGAGACAATAAAGCAGATAGATTATTAATACTGCAAGAGTTCCAGAAAAAGAGTGAAGAATTTTTAAAAATATTCAAAAACAATGGCTTTAAAAAAATCCCCAAGGGGCTAGAGAGATGGCTTGGGGCTTATATGTGTATACACTTATAGTGTATACAGAGAACTCAGATTTATTTTCCAGCACCCACACTGGGTGGCTCACAATCCTGTGTGACAGCTCCAGGGGATGTGATACCTCTTATCTTTGTAGGCACCTGCATTTACATGCACATTCCCACTTCATGCACACATGCACACTCATAATTTAAAATAATGAAAATAAACCTTTTTTTAAATCCTCAAAATAAAATTTGCTGAAATTATAAAAGCTATAATTCAAGAAGCTGAGAAAACCCTCCAAAAGGTTAAAAATCTGTGAAAATCATAGCTAGATACATTGTATGTACATACATTGTATGTAAATTTCTGAAAATTAATGACAAAAAAAACCCCTCCCAATGAATAGCCAAAGTGAAACAGCATATTACAGTACCCATTAAGGAATTCCGATTTGGGTGGCAGCCACTTCTCCTCTGAAACCACAGAGACATAAGGAAGTGCCCCAACTTGTTTCAAGTGTTGAAAGAAATCAATCTCCAGTCGTAACTCACATCTGGTGAAAATATCTACTGCGGGGCTGATGGAGAGCTATGAGACTCTACTGCCGAGTCTCATCTTTAAAGGGTGGCTAATGGAAGCTTATGACTCAAAAGAAACAATAATAGAAAATCAAACCCTGAGCATGGAAGTCATTCCAGGAGACCATCCTTAACTCCCTGGATTTCTCAAATCATATGTTACAGTTTAAGCAGGTTGCATACCAATAATGATTGTATACAGAAGGGCCATTTCAGTTACACTTTTAATATGTATGGAGCATAAGGGGTGTAAATTGAAATCAGGCTTGTTCGCTTGAAGTCATAATACATCAGGATCAGGAGCCGTGATACATGACAACTTTGCATACAGAAAGCCACTAGAAAAAGCTTTCAGAAAACCACACAAGGTGCTACAGTAAGAAGTAAAATGAATAAGTTAAAATGGAACACTGAAAGTGCCCAAAGGACCCAGGCGAAGGCAAGAGAAAAGAATGAAGCCAAGGATTCTACAATAAGCAAACAACCAAATGGTAGACATTATTAGCCTTAGATAGCAATAATACATACATATGGTCTTAATACCCCATTACTTGGCAGAGATTGGAGAACTTACAAAATCTTGACCAGATCCCTTAATGTCTACAAAAAAGCCACTTCAAATACAGCGACATGGATAAACTGGAGATAAAAAGATGAAAGTGATACACATTGTAGGTTTACTCTTTTAAGCAGGAATAGCGATGTTAACAGCACACTTTAGTTTTCGGGGGGTTGGGTTGTTTTTTTGTTGTTGTTGTTGGTTTTTGTTTGCAGTTTTATTTTTGTTTTTGAGACAAGATCTTGCTAGGTGTATAAGAAGGCTTCCAACTCATCATCCTCCTGCCTCTGCCTCCTAAGTGCTGGGATGTGTATGTACTACAAAGCCTGACTCACTACATGCTTTAGAGCAGTAAAAAATTACTAGGGACACAGGGCACATTAAATAATGACAAAGGCCTCAGTCTACAAAGACAGCAACTCTAAATATATGTGCACCAAACAGCAGAGTTTCAAAATGCACAAAGCAAACTTTGATGACACTGAAAAAGAAACAATAGAGAAATGGCCAATTATGCTTATTTTCTTTAATGGTCAGCACTGTGGGAGCTACACGCTATAAATTTAAGTGTTTTACTCAATCTTTCATAACTCCTAGTAAGTTTTCAATTTTTATGAAACTCTTCACAAATTTAAGAATAATTTAAATCAAGCCAAGTTTGCCTTCAGCCATCATGGAATCAAAATTAACAACAGAAAGGCAACTTGAAAATCTCCCTACACTTGGAAATCAAATAATGGGTTTTAAATAATTCACGGTTCAAAAAGAAAACATGAAAAATCAAAAACTTACTAAAAATTATAGAAAATTAAGTAAAACACTTAAATCTATAGAATGCAGTCCCCACCACGCTGGTGGGGAAATCTGTGCCCATTAGTAGGTTATGCCGGGACAATGGAAACGTCTCCAAGGGCAAGTTTTGTTATTAACCAAAGAACCTTCAAGAGGAAGAGCAATGCCCACTCAGAGCCAGCAGAAATAAAGAAAGGATCCAAGAGCAGAATCACAGAAATTCAACTGTACAGCAATACAGAAACCTAATGAAAACAGGGTGGCTGTTTAAAAAAAAAAAAAAAAAAAGTCAATGTAGCCTGGATACAGTGATTCCTGCTATAATCTTGGCACTTGGAAGGCTCATGGGAAGCTGGATTTGGGCCAACCTGGGCTATACAACAAGAGATTGCCTCAGAAGAAGCCAGGCATCATGGCACATACCTATAATCCCAGCTGCTTAAGAGACTAAGACAGGAAGACTGTAAGTTCAAAGCCAGCCTAGGCAACTTAGCAACCCTAACCTCAAACCGAAAATATTAAAGGGCTAAGGATGAAGCTCAGTGAGACCACCTGCCTAGTATGTTCAAAGCTCTGATTCAATTCCCAGTGTCACAAAACAAAAACAAAAATCTGAAGAATGTTCTAGAAAATATCAATCGGTGTTCTTCAAGTGTCAAGATCATGTAAATCCAAGGAAGACCAAGAAGCTTTTTCCTACTGGGGGAGACTAAGGAGATACTGTAGTCGGAAATGTTTAAGTGGAAAAATCTCATGGGCTCTGATTAAACTGAACTAGCATTCTGTTAATAGTACCAATGGGAATAAAGCAGAACCCAGTTATGTTTTCACCCAATAAGATTGAATGTATAATACCTCATTAGACAGCAAGCTCTCCATTAACAACACAGTTGCTCTTACTGGTAGTGTGTAAAAAGAAGAGAACACTGGTAATACTGAAAACTTAATAAGTTGAGTATGACCTTGACACTCTATCCCAGAATAAGATATCCAATTACTTAAAGATATTATCTTCTTATTCAACATACTTCCTTCCTTTCCCAATTTACAAACAATCCCAAAAGAACTGGGAACATCCCAGGGTCTACCTGGGCCTGCTTTAATCAGTCAGGATTCTGGGAGCTCAGATACTGTCTGGTGTGGCTGCTGAGCGAATCTAGGACTCTACTCAAGCAGTGAGCTATTTTAAGTAACTTTTTAACAGCTCTGTCTCAGATATTTAAGTGTCTCTCAACTATCTGGAATGCCATATGGTTCTGGAGCACATTCAAACTTAAGAGAAGCTCAAGGCAAAAGAAAATTCTAGAAGAAGAACATCCTCCCAGTAGCCTATGTGACAAGAAACAACAGCTTCCCTTGATCTCCAAGAAAAATGCAGACCTGAGAAATGACTTCACTCTCTCCCTGTATCCTCCTCCTCTTCTCTCTTCTTGCTCTCAGCCTTAGATGCTCAGACTGTACTGTCTCCAGGAGCTCATTGCTTCTGAACAAAGTTCAGTGTTAGCAACAGCTGCAGTAGCCCCTTTGAGCCTTTGAAACACTGATGGAGTGTCAGATGGGACAGATCTGAACGCCTGAGCACCCAAAATATTATCTGTTGAAATCTGTCTTCATCACGAGGCTGCAACCTGAGCCCTGAACAGATTTGGAAAGAGAGCCATCTCTTCTTGTCCAAAGGTTACACACCCACAGATCCAGCCAACTGTGGAATGAGTACATATGCATGTGCATGGACACAGACACAGACACACACACACACACACACACACACACACACACACACACACACACACACACTCGCTCATGTACATATGCTTGAGCATTCTCGAGTGATTGCATCTGAGGCTGGAAAGGTGGCTTGCTCTGCAAATGATGAGTATCTGAGTTTGAATGCTCAGAACTCATGTAAAAGTTGGTTGCAATTGCGTGCGTCTGTAATCTCAGCGCCCCTATGGTGAGATGAAAGGCAGAGAACTCCCAGAAGCTCACAGGATAGCTACCCTGGTGGATGGAAGCAGCAAATAACAAAGAAGCCTTGTCTAAAACAAGGCGGAAGATGAGGGCCAACACACAAGGCTGTTCTCTGGTCTACACACAAGCTCGGTGGCTCATGTATGCCTGCATTTGCATGCACAAATCTGCATAGACACACATAACATGCATATGCATACTATATATAAATCTACACACATAAAAGGTTGTCTGTTTGGACCTATACAGGCTTCCTCCCTCCCCTTCCCTCGTTCTTATTCCCTAAATGATACAGTATAACACCTGTTACTTGCACTGGGTGTTGTGAGTTGTGCAGAGATGATTTTTAGCACATGGTGGGTTTGTGTGGGCTCTGCAAATCTCACAGCATTTTATATTAGGGATCTGAGCATCTGTGGCTCTCATGAGATGCGGGGGAGGTCCTGGAATCAATCTCCCAGGGATACTGAGGGATGATGACTATAAATAGATGCTTATCTAAACTTTATGATACTCACTAATGACATTGGATGAATGTGACCTTTGTAGCCAAATAACGGCCCTTGTATAGACACTGCCTTTCTTGGAACTCAATCCATTTCTCAATAATGTCCATCCTATGAGTAAACTCAGTACACACGGGACATTTTCAGACTTCTCCCAGACTAGACATTTTACCTTAATGTCTCTAATCCACGACTCAGCCTGTTCCAAATTATCTTCATTGATTTCAGCAAGATTTTCCCGCCAAGCAATTGCCTGACCGTCAAACGTCACAAAATTGAATTTGCTCTTGTATCTCAGCTGTTCCTGGAAGAGACAATTATTATTTAACCATAAAACCACTCAAATGTAAGCAAAGATGAAGAGAGTCTCTAGAATATCCATTTTTAGCTCTAAAAGCTAGCTAAAAATTATGTTCAATTGAAAAAAAAAAACGTTTCTGCTGCAAAAAGGCATTTGAGTCAAAATTATACAGTTTGGATGTTTGGCCTCTACAGATGTTACAGATGAAAGTATAGATAGTATTATATGCCACATATGTGTTTGTAAGCCATACTGTACTGTAACATTAAATACTGACTTTAATACTGATATTAATGTTAGGCTAAATAAGCATGTTAAATGCTTAAAGAAAGAAAATTCAAAATGTCATCATATTGGCCACCACCTCTTGGGAAAGGCTATTATTTGGTACAGACCTATTCGCTTGCCTTTCGTCAGCCTTCATGTCCCCCTGGCCCCTGCCCCCACCCCCCTACCCCCGGGGAAGCTGGATGCACGCTCTATTTTGTATTTCTTAAACAGTGTCTACTCTCAGCACAACGGACTCATGACAGTTGTGAAACCTGGTTACAGGTATGGAAACTGGATTTGGAAGGCAACCTGCTACCAAGAAAATGATTCAGAGGCAGCCCAGATGAGTGGGACAGAAACGGTCTCCATCACAGGCCTAACCCCTACCCATCGGCAACTTTGGGGCCAGTTCATACAGTTTCCCTAATAGACATAGGTAATTAAATTAAAAATTCAAGAGAATAAATATCTGGAAAACAATAGAGATTTCTGCGTATCATCGATTAGACACAGCTTCAGGCGGAAAGTACTGACGCACACCTCAGTGACCCAGGGGTGACGGTGACATGAAGGACCCAACAGAGGACAGGTCTGATTGCCAGTGAGCACTGAGAGTTCTAGAATGGCAAAGGGGAGCATTTCTGGACTGACTTTCTCAGGGACTCTTTAGCGCAGTGTGGTGCTGTCCACTGCCCAGAGCCACCACAGACAATGACTGTTGGAGGTGTGTCTATGAGACACCAGCACAAGGACATGACCGTCCCACCCCACCTGTATGAGCCGAATGATCTTCTCCTTCACCAGGTCCAGTTTGCTCTTCATTGAGTGAGATGTGTCGATGAGGACATAGATGCAATCTCCACTCACTTTTCCAAAGAGGACTTGACTCCCATCCTGTAGCCACTTAATCCTAGACAGGAAAGAGTATCACAGTAAACGGAGTCTATGGACAACAAGGTCATCTTCATCAGAACACAGGGCTACAGAACCAGAGCACAGAACCAGAGCTCTGCTACATTGTTTATGCCTGATCATTGATGAATGGATTCTTTACTTTCAGGTTTTTGTTTTCTGTTATTTTGTTGTTGTTTGTTTGTTTTCTGTAGAAAAAAACTACATTTGAGGCTGGAGAAATGATTCAACACTTAAGATCGCTTGCACCTCTTACAGAGGACTCAAATTCAGTTCCCAGCACCCACATTAGGCACTTTACACATAACTCCATCTCAGGGAGACCCAACACCCTCTTCTGGCTTTTGAAGGCACTCGCATGTGCACACATGCAAACATGCACACACACATACACACAGAAACACACACACACACACACACACACACACACAAAAAAAAAAAAAAAAAAAAAGAAATCTTCTTTAAAAGAAAATTTTACATTTTGACTGGCCCTCTTATCGGGCCCCTCCACTTCCCACCACCAATTCAAGCAGACACAAAACCAAAGAAAACCAATACAGTGGAAAAATAGATGTAAAGAAAGCCATAAGCGGGGTTGGAGTGGGGGTGGGGTAGGGGAGAGGCTGGCGGGAGGAGCAGGAGGAGGGATGAGAGGGGGATCTGTGTTTGGTATGTGAAATGAATTTAAAAAATTCATATATATATATACATATGTATATGTATAAAGAAAGCCATTACTTCTAGTTCACTACGGTGTGGAGGCTGTCAGCTATGACTTCAGAGGACCTGAGTGCAGCTCCCTCCGGAAGCCTGTAGGGTCTGTGAGCAGGACTGAGCAACCCTGGGACCCTGAAACAACGAAGTTCTAGGTGGTTGTGCGCACAGGGCTGCTGCTGCACTCAGTACTCAGGAGCTCATCCCAGGATGCACTGAAGCTCACGGCGTCAAGAAAAGCCTTGCGGTGAGGCTTGGGGGAAGAGGACAGAGAAAATGTCTTAGGGAGTGGGGGGGGGGCAGCAAGTCTTAGGCAACTAGAATTTGTAGGGCAGATGCCAAATGGCAGTTACCGTCTAGAAAGGTAGGGAGACTGTGAAGGCCATGGAGCAGTGGGTGGGAGATTCCTAATCCAGATATCTGCAGGGTAACCTAGGGATTTGGGTTAAGTGGTGATCAGGGCATGTGTGTGAAGAAATGAGAGAAGCCAAGGAGAAAAATCATCCAAAGCTCCCCGGAGCTTATACACCTGAGAATAGCAGTTCGTTTTCCCAGCCGTCAGAGCCAAGTGTCAAGGGGAATCCTCACAACGGTGTTTACCTTACTAGTAAAACCAAATCAACCCTAGGGTAAAGACTGTGTGGACTTGAGCTCACATAACTTAAAAAGACGACTTCAACTCAAACTGGGTCTAAGCCACTTAACACTATCACAAAATACATATAAAAATGTAGTAAAGTCTAGCATCCAACAATGTAAAAATTCAAAATGTCTGGAATCCAGAAGAAAACTAGAAAATGACTCTCAGGTGTACCTGGAAGGAGGAGAATATCCACAATCAGTAGAAAACCTGATCAACAGAAATAGAGCCCCAAGCAACCCAGATGTTAGAATTAGCAGAAAAGAAAAGGGTGTTACGTGGTCACTTCAAATGTGTTTTGCATGTCCAGGAACAGAACCAGAAGAGAAACAGAAGGCATTAAAAAAAAGATCCTAAACATTGCAGAAGAGGAAGTGGAAAGAATGTAAGAGGCAGAGAATGGAGGAGGGCACGTGAGATGCTGAGACCTGGACGGGTTCTCATGAACTCAGAGCAGCTGTGGTTACCTATACAAGATCTGCATAAACCCAAGTCAGTCAGGATCCCAGCATAGTTGGGGGCAGGGCACTCTCCAGGCCCCAGGAGAGCACTTACTGAGGAACTATGTGATCAGGGCATGTGTGTGAAGAAATGAGAGAAGCCAAGGAGAAAAATCATCCAAAGCTCACCGGAGCTTATACACCTGAGAATAGCAGTTCATCTGCCCTGAAGCAGATGGTAGCTGTGGGGGGTAGAGAACTCCTTCTTTTTGGAGCATGTTCTCCAAGACAGGTTCCCCATGCTCCAGTGGACGGCCCCATAACCATTCACATATGGGCAGAAGAAGAGGAGGAGGAGGAGGAGGAGGAGGAGGAGGAGGAGGAGGAGGAGGAGGAGGAGAAAGAGAAGAAGGAGCAGGAGAAGACAACGACATAAAACTGGGGCAGGGATATTTTAGGAGTTACAGGTAGAATTGGAGGAGGAAATTTCTATTTCATTACATATATGTAATGGAATTCTCAAGTATAAATACAAATTATAATAAATGATAAAATTTAAAAGACCCTTAATGGGACTCCTAGAGAGATGCATCTGAAGTGAAAAGTAAATTATATAGCATTAATAGTAAGAGAGACAGCAAAAGAAAAGATCAGGGAATTTTTTTAGGCATAGCAGTAAGAAATAATTTAAAGTGAAACAGAAAATTTGAAAGACAAAACTGTGTAACATACAAGAAGTGTGTCTGTAGACTCTACAGCAGACAGGAAAGAGAGAAATAGAAAAGATATTCAAAACCGTTTCTATTTTGATGGAAACAGCATGCCTACAGATTCCAGGAGTCAAAGAACCCAACAGAAGAGAAGAGAAGAAACCACAGCAAAGTATATTGTGAATTTGATGAAACCCAGTGATTAAAAGCAGCCAGAGATGGGAAAATTCACAGTGTATTCAGAGTCTATGAATAAAAGTCTTTTTATTATAAACCATACAGGCCAGAATACACTGAAGATTTTAAAAAGAAACAACCAATAAAAATTTCAAACTAGAATTCTATACTTAGCAAAAAGATCTTTTTTAAAAGGGGGGCAAATTAAAGGGGTTTTCACTCTAACAGGGCTAATACAATTCATCACTTACAGACTTGAACCAGAGCAGATACTAACAAAGCTTTTCAGGTAGAAATGAAAGAAAGCCCAGTGGAAGTCTGGATTTATACAAAGGAGCAAAGAATAACAGAAACAAGCAGAATTAAATACATCATGTTCTAACTCTTCGTCATGAGATGAGGACATTAGACTATTTGTACTGCCTTCTTGGGTTCATAGAAGCTGTACATATAAAGTGCATGGTAACTGGAAAAGACAGGGGGGGCGGACATTGTATATTCTTATACACAAAGAGGCATGATCTTGTCTGAAGGCAAACTGGGAGGTTAATATGTACAGCACAAATGTCAGCTAGTCACACATATCAAGACAAAACTTCAACAGACAGGGTTAATATGACAACCATGGAGAGCAAGGGGAGTCATAAAAAGGTAACGCAAAAGCTAAAAAGTGAACAAAAAGGAGACAAGGCAGACGGAAAAATTTTACAAGATCCCAGATTTAAATCTAGCCAAGTTAATAAATATGAATCATAACAACATTGCAATCATTGTCTCCAAGAAGCCCCGTTAATTACAAGCCAGAGCTCGGCAAAGAGAAAAGGATGGGAAAAGATAAACCCTGGAGACCATAATCATCGTTAAGCTAGAGTAACTAACTATTCAGCTATCAGATTAAGTACATTTCCTAATAAGGAATTTCAGCAGAGTTGAACAGGGCATTTAGATGATAAAGAAGCTGATCCACCAAGTGGATACAACAGTCTGCAACATATATGCACCAATTAACAGAGTTTCGAAGTCTTAAGGAAAAGCTGATAGATCTGAAAGAACCACACAGACACGACTCAGTGATTTCGACAATTTTCTCAATAATTTAAAGAACAACTAAAGAGGAAATCAGTAAGTATGGATGACTAGCACGATGCTGCCAACAAAATGAAACTTATAAATGCAACTGACATGCATAGCACACTTTCCAAGGAAAGTTGATGCTTTCCGAGTTCTATGCCCCAAAACCTTTCCACAGAGAAGAAAACTCCAGGCTTCAGTGGGGTGTTACTGGTGAATTCTGCCAAACATATAAGGTAGAGATGGTGCCAATTCTCAGGGTTCTGCAGAAAATAGAAAAGGAAAGGAGCTTCTGCCCATTCTTGACACCAGGAAGGCAAGGAACAAAGGGACCCAGAGTGGGGAGTGCGCTGCAAGCAGCGTGTCCCCTACAAGACTGGAAACACAAACCAGTCAGCTCTGAAACCATAGCAGGAAGACTCTGGACCCAGGGCCAGCTTCCTGTGAGTAATCCATCACCATGTGGCTTTTGAGATGCTGGGGCTCTGGGTATAAACACTGGGCAGTTGGGAATCTGCTCATATGGCTTTGTAATAAAAACGGCATGAGGATGGAGGGGACATTCATCTTCAAATGGCTGTACAAGGCTGCCACTGGCTTAAACCTATTAGAGTCAGCATCTGGCATAATCCACAGAGCAGATTTACAAATGTCATCACCATTCCCACTTCATAATCAAGGAAACAGATGCAAAAAGACATTAACTAACTTGCCCAGGATATTAACTAACTTGCCCAGGGCCTAATAGCAAGTGATAGAGCTGGGATTTTCATCGTTTTTTAATTTCTTATTTTTCCAGCTCACTGAGACCTCAGGCCGATACCCCCAAATGAATTTCATCTCCATGGTCTAAAGCTGTCCCCTGACACCTGAAACCTGAGGGTGTTAATTTAAACCATCCACATGGAGTCAACCCTGAGGTCATGGTATCAGTACACCATACTCAGGAGCAGAGCAGATTATAAAAGAACACAGCAGGATAAAGACAGCTAGGAGACTGTGTATTCTCATTGTTTTCATATATATATATATATATATATATATATATATATAGTCGGATTATTTTCCAATATGTCACATCTACATAAGAGTTGCCTTGAGATGAAATAGTTCTATAAGGGAGCAGAGATGCCATATAGTCTGCAGTATACCCATGGCCCGCAAAACCCACCAAGACAAGTATCTCTTAATCTCCTAATAGCCATTACTTCAAAATTGCTCCTTTGGAAGCTGAGGAGAAGGTTCCATTGACAAAGTGCCTGTCACAAAAGTGTGAAGACCTCAGCTCCAATCCCCAGCACCCACATAAAAGCCAGGTATAGTAACGTGTGTCTGTAACCCCAGTCCTGGGGAGACAGAGACAGGTAGCTCTCTGGAGGACATTAGCCAGCCAGCCTCACTAATCACCGAGCTCCAGGTTCTATGGGAGACCTTGTCTCAAATATCAAGATGGAGAGCAACTGAGGAAGATATTAGACACCAACCTCTGTCCCCTTCCACATGCAAACACACCCCGCATACACACTGTGCATACACACCACGTATATGCACCATGCATACGCACCACCCATACACACAATAACACCTCCCTGATCTGTTTCTGATGAAATCTGAGTACTGGTATTTCCATTTGGTTAATAATGTCATCAATAAACTATCAGATGGAAACTTTGACAATGACATCTATTGGCCACTTGACTTCATTGAGCTCATCCAGTATTTCACGAGTGACTAGATCACTAGTGACCACATCCAAACATACCAACCTCCTTTGGATCCTGGCCAGGGCTATGTGGACTCTCTCACTGTACCATTTGCACTTCTCCTTGGTAATGCTGACATGGACCAAGGTCCCATCCTTCCAGGGGACGTGGATGAATCTGCTGCAGTATTTGGCATGAACTGTCTTCCTATTGGTGTCCTAAGGAAAGGACAAAGTCATGGGCTAGAGCAGGTTCTTAGAAACAAATAATAATAATAATAATAATAATAATAATAATAATAATAATAATAATAATAATAAACACAGCTCCTCACATGGGCCCACAAAATAACTAAAAACTGAATAAAATTGGATCATCTCTGGCTCCATTTTGTATCTGTCTCTGACTCCATCACCTGATGAATCTGCACATTGACATGCTAATATCCGAAGGAGTGCCTGAGTATCACATAATAATGGCTAACATTGCACCTTCCTGCAAGAATAAGGACCAATAAGAGCAACTGAAACATATTACTGTGCACTGTCCTGTTCCAGATCTGCACCCCCCACACATACACACACACCAATAACCCGGAAAAGAAAGGAGCCTCAAGGTGTACAGTAACCCTGCAATTACTCTGGATTCCAGGAACAGCAGAGCCTCAGAGACACAGGACTCTATAATGAGATGTCCCACCCCCACAGCAGTAGTAACCATTCCACAGGAACCAGACCACTCCTCTCAACCCTCTCAACAACGACAGTAACAACTTCAAACCTCACAGAACCGGAACTGAGACCAGATCAACCCGATCAAGCTTGCCTGGGGCCGCTGACGTGTACAGCTCTTTTCTTTCTACCCCAGTTCTTCCTGTGTGAACCCTACAGTTCAATTCGGTACCCCAAAGACAGACTTTGGGGTCCATGAACCCCTTTGTCCATACTTTGCAATGTGACCGGAAGCCACGTTGATGAAATCTTTCTCTGCCGTTCACCACCGCCTAACTGGGGTATTGGGATACGGGTGAGCCTGTTCTGTGGGGAATCCCAGGGCTCGCGTTTTGGGGCTAAAACTCTAATGAAACAGCCACTCAGAAACGGTGCAAGGAAAAAATAGCCAGGCGGCACGCTCATCTCTGCTTTATTTGTACACCTCTTAGCACCCATCTCCACAGGAAGACCATTCGCTTCTAAACTCAGCGGGCATGTTCAGGTGCCTGCCCCATAGACAGCCCTGTGATGGAGGTCATGGACAAGGTCAGAGGTACACATGTGATCCCATTTGTGTCTCGGAGAAGCCAGTGATTCCTGCAAGGGGAGGGGAAGAGAGGGGAAAGGGGAGAAGAAGGAAGGAAGAGGGGAGGGAGATAAGAAAAGGAGAGGGGAGGGGAGGGAGGGGAGGGGAGGGGAGGGAGAGAAGAAAGGAAGAGGGAAAGGAGGCGAGGACAGAGGGGAAGGAAGAGAGATGAGAAAGGAGGGAGGAGGGAGGGGAGGGGAGGAAATGAGAGGAGAGGAGGGAGGGGAAACTGTGGTCAGCATGTAAAATAAAGGGGAAAATGTTAATAAAAAAATAAAATCAGATTTAAAAAAAAAAAGACTTGATCCCTGAATTTAAAAACTTCATATATCCCAGCTTTCATGGAGAAGTGGAGATTTTGCACAATCAGTAGATTCTAGAGCACATAGGAAGGGAACTGGAGAGCTGGAGAAAGAGAATGGATGACAGTCTTTGCAAGAGTTGACTTCTAAGGAGAAACAGAATGAAGCAAATGAGGCACAGGTAGCTGTCAACACCAGTAGCTGTCACTCTGAGGGGATGGGAGCCTGTGCACAGCAGGAAAAGGCCATCAGATGCAGGTGTGCGATCAAATGTCCTACAGGAGCCTGGGGAGAGGGCTCGGTGGGAAACGTGCCTCCTGAACAGGATGAGGAAGACCTGAGTTCAGATCCTCAGCACTCATGGCAGTAGCTGGGCCTGGCTATACACGTAACCACAGTGCTGGCTGGCAGAGAGTGACAAGAGACAGACACTGGCCAGCCAGCTTAGCCCAATCAATGAGCTTCTGGTCCGGTAAGAGACTGTTTCTCAAAAGAAGAAATAAGATAGAGAAGAGCACACGCCATTGACCTCTGACTCCCCCCGCCCCATACATGCATGCATATGCTCACAACACACACACACACACACACACACACACACACACACTCACACACAATCCTAAAATGCATGCTTATAAGCTGATGGAAAGCTCTAGAAGGGCAACACTGAGGCTATAAAGTAAAAGAAGGAAAATGAATGAGTGAGTGAAAGATGAATCCATACATGGCGAGTGTTCAATAGGAGCAATGTCAATTCTTTCTGGGGACAGAAGCCTTAATCCAAAGTGAACTTGAGCCTCATGGCTGAGTGCTTGCCTCCAGATTTCTCTAGCACAGTCAGCTGCCATTCACAAGAAACGGCACAAAGCTGGGTTTAAATAGCTGTGGGATTGATTGTGCTGGATACATGAAATAATCTAAGATGGGAACAAGTTATGAGGATGTGTGGGAAGGGTGGCAGGGATAATAACCCGCAGACCCCACTGAGGCCGACGGAGTGGTGGCAGTCACGCCACGGAGGAAATGCCTGAGAAAAGTAATCTAAGTGGTTTGGTTAGAACGCATCGTGTGGGCTATGTCTGCAGTTCTTCCTAATAACAAGGTCAAGGGCGCACCTACGGCAGGGAGGGGAGTGATGGGGTGGAGGAGGAGGAGGAAGTCGTTAGAAGAGGGGATAGAAAAATGAAAGATCAAGAGTGTCAGAAGGTAGCCGGGCGGTGGTGGCGCACGCCTTTAATCCCAGCACTCGGGAGGCAGAGCCAGGTGGATCTCTGTGAGTTCGAGGCCAGCCTGGGCTACCAAGTGAGTTCCAGGAAAGGCGCAAAGCTACACAGAGAAACCCTGTCTCGAAAAACCAAAAAAAAAAAAAAAAAAAAAAAAGAGTGTCAGAAGGGTCATCCATACGGGACTGTCATCCTGAAGAGTGAAAGCAGGGCCTGGAGTCAGTAGTGCCAAGGAAGAAACTCATCTTCAAGGACTGGAGCCGGTGAGGTGGGCTCAGCACAGCTCCAAGGAGGTGCTGCGACAGTCTGGTGACAGGGTAAGAACAGTCGGGAAGCAGCCAGAGGAGAAAAAGCCAACGGGTCCAAGAGAGAGCCCAGCCTCTGCTGCGGAGGATAAGAATTCAAGGGTCACAGAGGGACAGGAACCGGGAAGGCCAGTGGTGAGCACAGGGTCTATCAGCGACACGCTGCCAAGGGGAGTGGCTGGCGAAGGGAGCTGTCCTCTGCCACGGTGCCTTCCCTCTCCTTCGCAACCACATCCCTGGGGCTGCCACACAAAAGCTTCCTCCCTGCCTATCCCTCAGTCCCGTGATTTCCCTAGAAGTCTGAAGCACAGCCAAGTGAAGCAACGGTGAGCCACGAAGCCGCGTGGAGGCAGGCTAGCAGGCAGCGGCATGATAGAAAGAGATGGCAACATGGCAGCCCAGATGATCCCATTCACACCGGCCCCCACCTGCCACAAGAGAATATCCTACCAGCCGGGAGGCCCAGCAACTTCATCCCCCTCTAGGGTAAAACTGAGAGCACTGATCCTCACCACTGACCTTCCTGGTTCCTGTCCCTCTGTGACTCTTGAATTCTTTCTTATCCTCCGCAGCAGAGGCTGGGCTCTCTCTTGGACCCATTGGCTTTTTCTCCTCCTGCTGCTTCCTAAGGTATCTTGATGATACAGAGCGCAGAGCATTCCCAGCGCTGATTCTCTACCTCTAACATCAATGTCTGTGAGAGAGAAAAGACCACTTCTACAGGGCATCTCCTAACTGCTGGGCTCTGTGCTCAGGTTGCACCCGACAATGCCCAGTTTAAAGACATAAAGGAGGAAGCTCCAGGCAGCGAAATGATCCCCGCCTCTTCATCCAGCTTAGAAACCCTACACAGCAAGATCTTCCTAGTCATACATTTCTCAGATGTAGAGAACTATACCACATCTAAACCAGTGGTTATATAGATAATCATACAGGGGATTTACCCCCTGGCTGCCAGGGAACCCTAAAGGATCTACTCGTTTTACAGCCACAGTGTCTCCCTACTAAATGCATGGCACAACCTTAGGAGTAACCCAATTTGGGGACTATGGTCTGAAAATATGAAGAAGCAAGGTTTTTCCCCCACTATCTATGGAAGAGAATAGTTAGCATAATTCTCAACCCTCACCATGTCATTATGCATTAGCACAAGAAATATGAGCAAAGCCCCCTATTTATAAGCCACATTCTTCAATCTGGTCCTTACATTTTAATTGAGACTGATAAGAAGGGAGGGAAAGTTCAGCATTAGAGCTGGCCCAGGGCACGCCATATTGCCACATCAGGCTATGTCAAAATCGACAAGGAATAATGCTTTTAAATACCCGGGACTGAATATTTTCTGAGTGGAAATTTAGTTACGGATGACTTCCTGAACATGACTGAATGATGTCTACAAAGCTAGAAAACTGTGCTCGGGAGGAAAGCCACTAATGAGATTTCCCCTGTGCTGCGGCAATTACTCTGCCTCCTAGGATACGCCAGGAAGCAGGCTTTTCGTCAATGCTGCGTTTTTTCTAATTCAATTTATATATTTTCCTCCTGCGGTCCACTGTAAACATGCAGGGGTAAGGAGGTAAAAGCACAACATGGCGGGACCTGAACTGAACCGCTAGAAGAAAACAGCTTGACTGGGGGTGGAGATGAGAGGGGTGGGGGGGATGGAGGGGTGGGGGATGGAGGGTGGGGGATGGAGGGTGGGGGCAGACAAGGAGCTGGGTGGTCAGGCAGAGTAGCCATACATCAGAGCATGCAAGGTCCCCTCTTGGATCTACAAGCCTCTCAGTAATGGCCTTGACCCTGAATCACAGCCTTTAAGAATAAACACATCAAGTGACACAGTATTTGAGCAGGGCCTTGATCCTCTCATGTCCTCCATTTCCAAAATGCACTGCATGCATGAGCGCGCACACACACACACACACACGCACACACACACACACACACACACACACACACACACACTGTTTTTCTGCTTTATACTGTGACATTGCTTAGTCTCTCAGGGCGTATCAACAGTTGATTCTGAGTATTTTGGTCCCTGCTCTACACATGCACGTGACTATTTCTCAATGTGCAGGCGTTGGTCCACCGCCTGGGTGTTTGCTATGGTTTGTCCCCACCATGTTGAGCATTAGTCCCCAAGATGGTAGTGCCGGCAGGTGGTGCCTTTAAAAGGTGATTAACAGACACTCAAGTATTTCTGTAGGCATGAGTTAGGTGTCTCGGAACTAGCTACCCAAAGAGTGAACTAACTGTTGCAAAGTCGGTCAGCCTGCCTGCCTCTGTCATTTCTCTTGTGGCTGTCACAAGATACCCGACAAACCCAAGTTAAGGGAGGAAGGGAGGGTTTGTTTTGGCCCGTGGTTTGAGGGTACAGTCTGTCATGGTGGCGAGGCCTCGGCAGCAGGAGTTTGAGGCGGTTGCTCACATCCCATCTGCAGTCAGGGAGCAGAGAGAGACGGATGCTGGTGCTCAGCTCACTTTCTCCTTTTTACTCAGTCTAGAACCCCAAGCCGTGGACTGGTGCTGCCCACATTTAGGATGGCTTTGTTCACATGTAGAGCAGCAGGCTTTCCCAGCTCTCCTAACCCAATCTAGAAACTCCCTTATAGATAAGCCCTAAGCTTTTTCTTCTCGGCGATTCTAAATGAAGTTGAAAACCAACATCAGCCATTGCTGATCACACCTACCTCCCCTTTCTCTCTTCTCCCCACCCCTGCCCTCTCTCTGAGCTCTTCTACCCATGCCTGCTTTCCTTCTTTTCCACAGTGAGTTGACACAGCATGAGGTCCGCACCGGGAACTGAGCAGATGCTACTCCATACTCTTTGACCTCTGGAACTGTGAGCTAAATAAACATCCTTTCTTTGTAAATTTCCCAGCCTCAGATATTTTGCTATGGTAACACAAAAATGGGCCAGCTAGGACATAAGTAATGTAAAATCCTGCCCCCACCTCAGACCTAATGACTCAAATGCATGATGTGAGAGCTTAGAAATCATTCATACTGAGAATAATTTGGTCGTTGGGAGCCGGAGTCAGACACTGTGAGAAGCTGCATCCCCAGGGACCCCATTTGGTACAATGGAATTAGATCTTTCAGAGCTTGAAACATACTCATCTGGTGCTATGAGTCTTTGGAGAATCTGATTTTATGTTTACTGGAAATCCACTATATACTGGCAGGTGCTCACTGGAGTAATGCATCTTCAAGATGCTTGAAACTCAAGAGGACCACAGAGATGCCTGGTTCTTTACACACTCACTGGCTGTTTCTCCTTCCCATTCAACATGGGGGAACAAAGAGCCTCTCATCTGACATAATATTGAACAATCCAGGCACTTATAAGACTTGAACTTCTATTGGCCCAGCTGGTAGCTTGGGTATAATTCACTTATATCTGCTGCTATAGCTCAAAAACTTGAGTATGCCTCTAAAAGTGTCTGTGGTGTAGGGCCCCTGTGTGGTGGTTCGGAGAGGTGGGGAAGGCCTGAGAGGTAAGGTCTGCTAGAAGATCGTGGGGGACTGCTGGTGACAGGAAGTGAGAGCTGAGCTTGCAGAGTGAGAGCTCAGGTCGCTACATGATGATGTCATCGGCACATCAGCCTTCTGCCCATGGCTATTTCTCTTTCTGCTTCTCTGTGACAGAGCTGGAGCTAGGGGACCGTATCTGAGGCTAAACAGTTGGTACCTACCTGGTAATAGGGCTCCACACACGTGAGCTAAATATAAGCATTTCTTCATAAAACATCTAGCATCAGGCATTCTGTTTTGGCCACTCAAAACAGACTAAGACATGCAGAAGCCATGCCCCAGCCTTGATGACTCTCATGGGTACCATTTAGAGAAGGTGGAAAGTGAAGGGACATCTGTCTTAAGGAAACCCTAGATGACTCCCTCCCCTGCCACCTTTCAATGTGGTCTTTCCCTTGGCATCTGATCCAAGGAAGGCTTCACACACACCTTGCCCCCAGGCACCAAGAGAAGACCCACAGCCCCGGCAGTTTTCACCTACCGCGCTGGTCTGTACAGATTCATCTTCTGGTTTGCCTTTTATATCAACAACTCCATCAGCATGGCGGAAGGAGCAGTCAGCAATGACATCATAAAAGGTCAGCTTCTGAGCCTTCAAGCCATATTTCTGGAGCCACTTCTGAGAATCCCATGTGTCTTCTCTGTTTTCCTTACTCTCAAGAGACGTTGATCCTGGAATCATAGTTCATCAGCTACTCATATTGCATGACCAGTTCCTCCAACACTCCCAACCTCATATTTACCAGTCTGGAACATTCCTGCTGCCAGACCATAGAGCCCACGTATCTCTTCATATACTGCAGCAAGACTTTTATTTTTCACCTCATTTCCTCCTCTATGTGTGTGGACTGGCCTTACACCAGAATGGCTCTGGCTGAGCGACCAGGGTCATGTGTCAAGAAAGCACCAAATACAGAGTCAGAAACTCTGGGTTCAAGTCCGGGCTGGGACATCTACTATCTTAGGCAAGCGGCTCAAATGTGATTCACCCATTTGACTATTCTGAACTCAAGCAAATATCTTCACCTGCAGATAGAAGATGGTATTTTCTTGGTCTTCTTGGAGAATCTGATTTTATATTTATTGGAAATGCATTCTATGCTGCTAGGCTACTGACATAATGCATCCATTCTATTGAGTATGGGAGAAGGGTGGGCTTTTCATTTGACAAACTGTTAACTAATCCAGGGACTTCTAATGCCTGATTTCTATAGACCCAATTCATGACTTAGGTATAACTCATGTAAAACTAGTGATATGATTTAGAAATGTTTTGAGAGCAGATCCAAAAGTTTATGTGGTAGATATTGGTCCCCAATGTGGCAACGGGGCCCAGATAAGTATGGCTTCTCATAGGCAGTTCTCAATATCAGTGGTTTCTAAACTCCAGCAGCATGCAGGCGAGTCAGGAGGTCTGAGATAGAGACTAAGATTTCGAACCAGTTGTGTCTTAGTCACATGAATGTGTGTTGTAAAAAGGGGTTAAAAGAAGGATGTCCATGCAGCCTGTAGGCTGGCAAGGTCAGGCAGCATACAAAGGTTAGTAAGCTGACTCCCGTGAAGCTCCTTTGGTGAATTTAATCCCTGTTTAGAGTGTGGCCCTCAGCTCTGTGGGCTCAGAAACCGCGTCTGTCAGCTGAAGTATCTGGGGCTATATCTAGAATGTCTTGTATCGTATCGTATCATATCGTATCGTCTCACAGGGTATAGCCCAGAAGGCTAGCTATCCAGCAGCTTTAGATATATTCTCCTCTGGTGTCTTCCAGAGGCTATCAGTATCACTGTATCCCGTACCCAGGAAGGACTGGTTCAAGGACCGCACTGTGAGTACCTCGATCAGAGGCTGCTCAAACTCCTCATGATGATGTAGTGTTTGCACAAAACCTACCCACTTGCTCCTGTACACTTCAGATCATCTCTAGATCACACATAACACCAGACGCAAGGCAATGCTTGTAAACAGTTGCCATACTGTACTGTTTAAGAAACAATGACAAAACCCTGCACATTGCTCGTACAGTGGCTTTTTCAAAAGGATATTTTTGATTCATTTTTTTTTTTTTTGCCTGAAACTACAAGGCACTGACTGTCATTAAAAGCTGCTCCGGGGATTTGTCCTCTTTTGTTTTCTGTTGCTGTGACAAACACTGAACTAACAGAAAGGGTTAATTTCCGCTTACCGTTTCTAGTCCGTCATCTAGAGAAGCCAAAGCAGGAGCCCAAGGCAGGAACTGAAGAAGAGGCCACAGAGGAATGTTGCTTCCAAGACTCACTCACCTTGCTTTCTTAGACAACCCAGGCCCATCTGCCCAGGGGACGGCACCGCCCACAGTGGGCTGGACCCTCCCGCATCAATCATTAATCAAGAAAATGCCCCACAGACAAGCCCACAGGTAGTTCTGGTGGAGGCAACTCCTTTTTTGAGGTTCTTCTTTCCCAGGTAACTATAGGTTGTATCCAGTTGACAAAAGCTAGCCAAGACAGGGTTAGAAAGATGGCTCAGTGGTTAACAACATGTACTGTTGTTACAGAGGGCCCAAATGTGGTTCCCAGCACCTGCATCGGGCAGTCACATCTGCCTGTAACTCCAGCTCTGAAGAAGCCAATGTCCTCTTCTGGCCTTTGAGGGCACCTACACACACACACACACACACACACACACACACACACACACACACACACAATTTTTTTTTAATAGAAATAAATCTTTAGATGAAAGATTAAATTACTGCCAGCCTCCCCAGATTTAAGGGGCTATATAATTAGACTAGGACCCAGGGAAACAAAACCGCTTGCAGTCAATTAGTCCTCAATAATATGTAAAGAGGCTGCCCATGCGCATGCCAGATGAGCTGTGTCCTCGGAGCTTTGTACAGCACTGTGACAGAACTCACTCTGACACCTACTGGAGTTGGAACTGATCAAAGCTGATTTCTGCTTTCAAACTGGAAGCCAATGTGGCATCCAAAGCCCCTCTGAGCACCATCCTGAGTGCCAGCCATTGGCTTCCATGCAAACCACAGTGTCCTCCTACCCTTCTCAAGCAGTTCGAATCAGATGCCTCCCAGAGCTCCCAGCCCCTTGAGCTTCCCTTGAGAGAGCTCCTGGCACCATGGAGATGTAGCTGCTTTTTTTGTGGGGTGTGTGTGTGTGGCGGGGAGATCAGCCTCCTTGGAGAAACCTTCCTATGACTTCTTCAGTCTTTGTTAATTACTCTCTGCATCTTGGGCTCCTCTTTATTCCCTCGTTATGTAGCTGGTTCCATTCTTCCTTTTCCCTGTTCAGTTGGGGCAGTGGGAAATAATTTTTTTCATTCAATGATTTCCATAGCAACACATATACTTTTGCATATCTGTTTCAGGGGCTACCTTCTTAGAAAAAGATGAAGGCCCTTCACTGAGCATAAGTCCAAACGTAGGGGAGAGAGAACTTCCTGGGAGCCATATAAACCAATCCTAGTAAGGGTTTTTAAAGAGTCCGGGATGAACCTTCACCTTCCAGCTAGACCAAGGGTACAGCCACTTAAGGGCAGGAGTCAGGCTCCCAATTACCGTCTGAAAGGGGGGTGAAGACCCCTTCAAACCTGAGTTTCCTAAAGGAAATCAGAGGCAGCCCAGCAACCAAGGCAGAGAGCTCAGGCGTGCCAAGCTGGAGCTATGAGGGGAAAGTGAAGTATTTTTCATATTCATTCATTGCTAATTACAGCAATTAGTGGCTGAGCCTTGTTAGCCTGAGAAGGGGAAGGAGAAGGCCATCATCTGTTCATTAGCATCGCTCACTAAGGGATCCTTTTCCAATTCTCCTGCAGTTATTTTAATTAAGAGTGCCGCATGAATTCACACCTTCAGAGCCTTCGCTTACTGCAGAGGTGTGAGCTCCCAGGGATGCTGATCACACGGCCCTCCTGTATCCACATGACAGCTTGCTAAGGATGTTCTCAGTGTTCTGTGCAAGGGAAGCAGACTGGAGCACATCCGTGCTGCAGAATTGACTTGCCTGGTCCTCTCCTTCCTACTGATCAGTCTTAAAAAAAATTTTTTTTTTCAGGCTTGAAGCCATCTGAATAATGCTTTTGAAGAAAAAAAAAAATCATGGTCTAACCAGGGAAACAATCAAAATGATAGCGGGTATGGCTTATCAGTACCCCACCCTCTCACACTCATACACCTACCCTCAAAGACAGATCCTAAAAGGGGTACCATCAAGGGTTTACTACCCTCCCCCACACACTGCACCCTCTACCCTCCTCCACTGAAAGCTACTCAACTGCCACATCATTCCTGCTGTGCCAGGTCCCTGTGCTGTCAGTGAATGAATGCACTCAATTTCTAGAGATAACATTAATCTGATGATTCTCGCAGTGAACACCACATGCTCTGCCCCCCCCCCCACTGAGTGCCAATTGCTGCTACTCAGAAAGAGGGCTCCTTAGGCAAAAAGCTGGGGAACCTAAAGAACTTGGGGATTAATGATGACTTTATTTTCAGCCTTTTCTTCAGAGCATGGGTAAGGGGGCTCACCACAACCAGGATTCCCATTCCTGCTATTTGGGAATCTGAAGCTATTTGGTTCCAGAGTCTTTCTGTCCAGGGAATTATGCGGGGGGGCGGGGGGGGGGCAGGGGGCGGGGCTTGTGGTCTACAGACCAGAGCCTGATGCACACTGGAAGGGAGGGAGGGAAGAGAACTGAGCACAGCTGGGAACTGAGGGAGATGGACAGGACTCTAAGAAATTCCAATCCCTCCTGCTGGATGACTCCCTCAGCAGTGAGGAGGAGCTGCAGTCCTTTGGTTGAAGGTGATGGATGAAGCCTGCTTTGGGTGGAAGCCAGGGGACAGGTGGGGACAGCATGGAAGGAGCCAGAGGCCCACCTCTGAGCAGTTACACACATTCCTGTGCTTGTCTGATACATTCTGTTAAGGCACGTTTGCTAAAGCAAGCGAATGCTGTCCCTGGCGTCCTGGGCACTGCATGTGAGGGTTGAGACCCGATGGGGTACCCTGAGGGGCCTGGTGTTGAATGTCAAATGTGTGCCTGAGACCAATCGGGAAGCTCTAGACTTTGCTCTGAGAGGCAGTATCAGGTCACTTGCAGGAGCCTCTGAGAATTTGAAAACCTTAACTTCAAGGGAGAATGAAGTAGAGTCCCAGGGAGTTCTAGGCCTGTTCTCCCCGGAATACTGTAAAGTGATTTTATTTATTTGTACATTTATACTTCCTTCTTGTTAATTCTGTAAAAAATCAAACTACGGTTTCTATTGCCATGAAGGGCTCTGTCACTCGCCCAATTCGTTTATTCCAGTCCTCCGGTCACTAGCTCCTAGCATCCTCTGAAGGTGGAGAAGAAAGGGGGAGAAAGGAAATGAGGCAGAAAAGAAGCGGGTTTGAAAAGGAAGCCGAGTACTAACGAAGAGAACAGGAGGAGAACAAGTACCCTTTGGTCCTCACTTCTCTCTCTTTCTCTTCGGCTTCATCCCTCTGAGAGATGTGCGGGAAACGGCTCTCAAGGCAAGCAGCATCTCAGCTTCAGGAGGACACTAAACCACAATACCTGCTGCAGACTACTTGGCTACTTGGCGGCGGGGAGCAATAATTGAGTCCAGTGACAAACCCGCACGGGGTTAAGAAGAACACATCACCAGGAGCCCGGGCCGCAGGAGAAGAATCACAGAC